GCCGGGGCGAAGGTGTCGAAAGACGGAACAGGGGGGGGTGCAACAGCGTTGTAGCAGCCCGGCCACGCCACCGTACCCGTCACCCTCCCGTGTGCCGCCCGAAGGCACCCCAGCAGGTACTCGACCTGATCGAGTAACGGGTTCCCACGAATCCTGGCCTCGCGCATGGCGTCCTCAACAGTACTGTCCGGCGGCATCGCTATCGCCACAGCCTCCGCCGCACGGAGCACGCGCTCGCGGTCCGACTCTTGGAAACTAAACTGCACATGTTGGGCCATGTGCCTCAAGATGCCTTTCGAAAAGGCTGCATCGCCCTTCCGAAAGGCAAGCGAGCGTTCGCTGCCCCGCGTGGTGGGGCTGCGGGCAGCTGCAGCGTAGGACACCCCGCGGCGAGCCGTGGGAGACGACGCCGTCCGCTGCGCCCGTGATGGAAGCGCCGGGAAGGCGTCTCGCTCCACTGATGAAGCCCTGGAGCTGGCGCCGGAATCGGGTGCCTCGCGATCCCGAAGGCGCCGCTGTCGACGCCCCTTGAAAGCTTCCAGCTCGCAACGGTGGCGGGCTCCTTCTTCCTTGACGGCGGCGGCGGCCGTCGTCAGCGAAGCATGCTTCGCCTGTAAGGCAGCTATGGCCGCCTCAGTGTCGTGAAGATCGGTGGCGACCTTCAGGGTGACGCCCTCCGTGGAACCCAGGGCGTTCTTTATCCCGAGTTCCTCTTCGCGGTCTGCTTCATCTTCCAGCTGCTGTGCCCGGGCCAAGCGATCGGCCCGGACACGGTCCACCGCAGCGCAGGTGGCCGCCTCAGCCTCCGAAGAGGCCAGTAGCGCTTGCATGTCTCGAGGAAACGTATGCCAGCGGGCGCTGAGATAGGTGAGGAGTGGCGGGCATGCGATCGGTGGAGCAGCAGCTGGCGAAGGAGCCGTGGTGGCAGGCGCAGGTGCAGCAGCAGCAGCAGTAGCCGCAGCAGCGGCAGCAGCGGCGGAAGTGACGGCCGCAGTCGCCGAAGAGGACATGAGCACGGGCGCCGCGGGGCGCTCGGCTCGATGACGGCTCTCAGGACCCGTGGTGGCCTCGCGCAAGGCCGGAGAAGAGAGAGCTGCCAATTCCGTGTCCTCCGAAGGGCCGGGACGACGAGGAGATCCCGCAGGGGGCGTGGAGTCGGAGGAAGTCGTAGGTGCAGAGGTCGTCATAGCTTGAAGTGCTCGAAACAGGTCCGCGTTGCGAGCTTCGGCGAGACGAACTTGTTCTAGGGCAGCTGCTGTAGCTGCACGTTCATGAGCGGAAGAAAGCATGGGAGGCGGAGCAGGCACATGGTGAGCAGAAGCTACAGCGCGTGCATTGCGAACCTGGCGACGATTATCACGAGCAAGTGCCTGCTCTCCGTTAGTCTTAGAGGTATAACTCTGAGAAGCGGACACTCGGGCGGCAGTCACATTAGCATCAACATGTGCCGGCCGAGCGCCCGTGCTGTTTTCTCTAACAGGGATCTGCGATTTTGCTACATGGTTAATAGCAGGCGTATCGCAACGCACACCTCGAGAGGTGTTGATGGTCCGTGGTGCCACTGAACGCACATCAGAACGAATACTAGAACTGCTAGGAGCAGACGCATCGCGAGACGTACTACGCAAAACAGGTGCAACAGCGGATGCGGCGGAACGTTGTACACCGTCAGAAAACCTGACAGTCCCGTCATCCGCTGTAGACGGAACACGAAGCTCGTCACGCGGAATGGGGACATTCCCTAGTGCAACTGAAGGCACATCGGAAGGTTGAAGAAGAGCTCCTATTGCGACTGAACGCACATCAGAGGGGTGGGTGGCCACTACGGCAGAACCGGTGGCCACCACATCATCACCAGAAACAGCAGTCTCAAAAGGAGACGGAGATGTTCCGGTGGGGGTATGAACGGCATCACCAGCAAAAACAGTGGATACAGAGGGAGCAGCCGGTTTACGCGCACGCACGCTACTCGAGGCTATAGCCCCACGAGCATGCTCATCCTCTTGGAAAAGGCGGACACGCCTGGCCTCAGAGCGAAGCTCAAACAGACGTGTGGCCTCTTCTTGGGGATCAGCGGCGCGAGCACCAACACCATCATGCGGTGCATACAGAGCGTGGTCGAAAAAGACAGAGGCTGTTGAGTAGCTTTGTGCGTGGGTGCCTCGGCGCGGGGTCCCGTAGTGGGAAACAAAAGGTGCCAGCAGCTGGGTACTGCCAACGGTCAAAATGTAGAAACTATCCGCGGGCGTGAAAGCCCTTCTACGTGGTGGAGCGTGGAAGCTCGTGTATAATATAGTTGTGGCGTGGAAGCCGGGTGGCGTGGTGGCCCTGATGTAAAGGTATATGTAGGGACGTGGGAGTCCTGAAGGCGTGGAAGCCGGGTTGGCGTGATAGCCGGAGTATGGGCGTGGAAGCCGGGGTTGGCGTGAGAGCCGGAAAAAGGACTTGATTATACACAGAAAAAGGAAGTGAGGAACCACAAGCCACGCACACAAATTCCGTTGTAGACACCCATACCCTCAAACCTGCAATATGTGATAAAGTTGGTACCACCAAATCTAATCCATAGCAACCATTGAACCCCCAAACTCCCCGCTCCATCTGCTCGGGAAATTCTTGCTCGCAATAATCTGTTGATGCTGTGAGTACATCCAACAGCCCCCCTACTCGCTGCATTGGCAAGATTACACCCGGACTCATTTAACTACCTTACACATGCATACCCTCTTATACCAAATACCTGAACGCAAGGCTTAGTGATTAACATTCCATCCATCTCATGCTTCGTCTTCGCCAAAACACCATGACCATTAAACCCGAAACAAAACTCGTTAGAACTCCAACCGGTTTGAAACTCTTCTCCTAAGCATTAAACCAGAAACACTGCAGAGATTATCCATCGGTCACCCTGGAATTCAACATCGTAGAAAATCCTCAGAAATAGCAATTCAATAGAATCGCACAAACGCAAAAAAACAAAACAAAAATAAAGACTCCAGGACTGCTCATTTAGAATTTCAATCGGATAGAAAGTATTCCCAACCAACCATTAAAACAGAAATACCAAATATAATGTCAATCGGCCATTCTTGAATTCAAACTCGTAGAAAATCAACTCCTCATATACTCAAATCGAAAGAATCACACAAACAAAAACACAACACAAAAAACTCCGGGACTGCTCAATTTAAGTTCATCACGTAGTCCCTGTGGAACACAAAATCCCTCTCAGGTAGCGCCTTCGTGAGGAAGTCAGCATGCTGGTACTGCGACGCTACATGAATGATCTCTACCTCCTTCTCATCTACCAGTTGTCTGAGGAAGTGATGCCGCACGTCGATGTGCTTCGAGTTGGAATTCGAGATCGGGTGTTTTGCGATCTGGAGAGCACCCTCGTTATCCTCGTACAGTGGAATGCACGGCCGCAACTCCTTCGGCAACATAAAGCGCCAAACCTGCCTCAAAAAAAGAATCTCCTTCCCCATGTCCGCCATCGCCACGTACTCTGCCTGCGTGGTGGACAAAGTCACACACTTCTGAGTCTTGGAAAACCATGCTATCGCTCCCCCCGCACACATTACTACTCCCCCTGAAACCGACCTACGATCCGCCGCACGCGAGGCGTAATCCGCGTCGACGAACGTGATCAAAGAAAACCCTGAAATTGTCCCCTTCTGAAAAGAAATCCCGAAAGAACTAGTCCTAACTGCATATCCTAAGATGCCAAGTGCAGCCTTCCAGTGGATCAACTTGGGTGCACTACAGTACCTCGCTACTGCCCTCACCGCATTCGCGATATCCGGCCTAGTCAAAAAAACTATCCATAGCAACGAACCAATCAGCGCGCGAAATGGGTGCTCTACGCTCGGCTCATTCACATCAAAGTCCCAAAGTCTCCAAGTCGTGGGCAAAGGAATGCTTCCGCCCCACTCCACACCATATCTCTCTCCCAACTCCTTGGTGTATGTCTCCTGCGAAATCGTCAATCTACCTGCCTCTCTGTCCCTCTCGTAATAGCAACCAGAGTACCACTGCAACTCCCCCAGAGACTTCACCGGTACGTAATCGCCCAGGTCCTTCCCAAATTGATCACACCTCTCCTTCGTCCCCACTGCAAAAATATCATCTACGTGTACTACTAGAATCAACACTACTTCCCCCCCTTCGACTAAGCGAAAAACACATGAATCGGCCATGCACTGCTCGAAACCCAAAGCCAAAAGACACTTCTTCAGCAACGCGTACCACTCCCTAGATGCCTGCCTCAAACCGTAAAGGCTCTTGTTCAACTGCACAATCTTCCCCGACAACGCACCACATCCTTCCGGCAATCGCATGAAAATGTCTTCCTTGAGAGGGGCCCTCACAAACGCCTGATCGATATCGAAATGACACAACTCCAAGTCAAGCTCACACGCCAAAGCTGCCAACATACGAACACTAGACGAAGCTACTGTGGGAGCATACAAATCACCAAAGTCAATGTACTCCTTCTGCATATCTCCTCTTGCAACAAGTCTGGTTTTGGCCTTCGTAGGAAAGCCGAACGCATCTACCTTCCAATCAAACACAAACTTCGACTTGATACAATTACCGATTGGTTGCTAGGGTCCAACAACCTTGAATGCATCTGCTTCTAGCAACCCAAACACCTCTCTCTTCGTTGCGTCCATGAACTGGGTGCTGTGCACGCTCTCCTTCGCCTCCTT